ACACACACACACACACACACACACACACCGTGCACAAATTTCGTGCATCGGGCCTCTAGTCTAGTATATTAGGTTACACTAAATGGGCAGTCAATCCAAGTTCACCAAATAAATTAATAAATACCCACATGTTACATACCAGGTATCTAGAAGTGTCCTGACCACGATTCCATGCTAATTAGAGAAAACTCACTTTTCATTCCCCAGAATCCTGCACTATCACTAACAAGGCATTTCTCTTAATCTAAAATATATGCCTTCCATTTAAAACAGCCTTACCACCATATCACAATCAAGGGCAACTTCTAACTTCCACGTCTTTTTTTTTTTTTTTTTTTTTTTTTTAGCAATTTTAAATTGATTTTAGAGAGGGAGAGAGAGAGAGAAACATTGATGTGGGAGAGATACATCGATTAGTTGCCTCCTCTACATCCTCCAATGGGGGTTGGAACCCACAACCTAGGTGTGTGCCCTGACTGCGAATCGAACCCGAAACCTTCTGGTGCACAAGATGATGCTCCAACCATATTTTTCTACCTCTTTAATCACATTCCCTAAGAGAGAAATATTTCACATATTTGGCCGCCTCCTCCTTATCATTCTACAAAAAGGGCCATTATCATTATCTTCATGTTACAAATGAAGAAAAAAAAAAAAACAATGTCTGAGGCCACTTTTTTTCAAAGTTCATCTTTCTTCATGTGAATCATGCATTTCCAAACCCTTTTCTCTTTAGACAAATAGGGAACGTTCTAATAAGTTAGATTTTAAAAGAATAGGTACAAGTAAAGCCATAAGTATAAAGACAAGAATGACTTTACGCTGGAAAGCTGAGACAAAAGGACAATAATTTAAAAACAAAACAAAAGCTTGTTTAGACTTAAAAGAGCTAAACAAAGAACTCACTGCTTAGGGAAGATGATGTAATACCAAGAGATGACAGGGACAAATGCAGACCCATTTAGCTTCTTATTTGCTTTGGTTATCTTCATCAGGGAATATGATCTTTAAACTGGGAAGGGTAGAACTCTGTAAGGGTAAAACTGGGAAGGGTAGAAGGGGGCTAACATGTAAGGCTAGTGGCATGGAGAGTGGACGGTAATGGAATAGAGAGCTAGCTCAAAAGAATTTGCTTTCTCACCCAAACAAATCACACTCCGTAATACTGACAAAACTTTTAGATCTGACTGCTGATTATCTAACCTATCTTGACAAGCAGCCAAAAAAGACCAGGGATGAAAGAATGTATTCTCAATTTTCAAAAAGGGAGAAATGTGAATCCAGAAAAATATCTAAGGTAAATTTGCTATGTATCCCTGGAAAAAATTTAGAATGGCTAAATAAGTTTATGAGCACAATAAAAAGAAAATGTCACCATGGGGTCTTTATTAAGGTAGGCTACACAACATTTGCTTTTTGATAGGATTACTAAAATGAAAAAAGGGAGGATAATGCATACAAATGCATAAAAGATTCTAACAGAATCTTTCAATGATAGGCTAGTGGGGGAAAAAATGGGAAAATGTTGAACAGCAGAAGCTCATAAATCTGTTAAACTTTACTAGGAAGATGCATAGCTAGCCAGTGGAACATCTGGTTGATTAATGTATCCACATCAACCAATTTGCAAGGAAGTCTCCAGGAAAATACCACAGCCTCTCAGCCTTTTCCATGAATCAGGATGCCAAGAGGTCAGAGTGGGCTGAACTGAGGGTCCAAAACCAAAGATCAACAGGGAGTCAAGGCCAGCATTTAAGAGTCTACAACTCACGTATAAAAAGGAGAAAATGTGAGAAATATCTAGGTAATAAAAACAACAAAATCTACATGATCTCAAGATGCTAATAGATGCATATGTCCAAACTCAATTACTCTAATTCTCTAATTAATCAAGTTAAAAAAAATTTGTTTTTATATGAATCATTCCCAGGTCTTCATCCTAATAAGAATTTACAAATGCATTTAGTTAAAACCCTCACTTGCCTGGCTGGTGTAGCTCAGTGATTGAGGGTCAACCTATGAACCCGGAGGTCATGGTTCAGATTCCCAATTGGGGCACACCGGATTGTGGACTGATTCCTAATGCAGGAAGCAGCCAATCAATTATTCTCTCTCACTATTGGTGTTTCTATCTCTGTCTCCTGCTCCCTTTCTCTCTGAAATCAATTAAAAAAAAAAAAAAAAAAAAAAAAAAAAAAAAAGAGGAAAACTAGTTTTAGACTAGAATTATGCAAGTGTATCTTGGCATTCGAAAACATTTTATTTGATCAGTCTAATTTATTGACATTAATATAAATATATCCTTATATAAGATTCAGATATAGCCGAAACCGGTTTGGCTCAGAGGTAGAGCATTGGTCTGCGGACTGAAAGGTCCCAGGTTCGATTCCCGTCAAGAGCATGTACATTGGTTGCGGGCACATCCCCAGTAGGGGGTGTGCAAGAGGCAGCTGGTTGATATTTCTCTCTCATTGATGTTTCTAGCTCTCTATCCCTCTCTCCCCCTTTCTGTAAAAAATCAATAAAATATATTTTTTTAAAAAGATTCAGATATTATGAAATCCAAGTCCTTCTTTGAATAGAAGAGAAATTAAGAAAAATTAATTTGCTCCAAATAATGCAGCTGCTTAGCAAGAACCATGATCCTTAAATCAGTCCCCTTTTCCCACACCATGTGGTTTCGCAGCCCTCTGTGTCCTTCCTTAAAATCTGTACTATGCACTAGGGTTAGAAAACACACACAAAACATCCATCCACGCTGTACTATGCTAAGGAAAAATTAGCTTAGCAAGATCACACAACCACAGCACATTAGCCCATAAAAATATTTTGATATGGTGTGATCACTTACAAGATTGATAACCAACGTTATCAAAAGGCACTCTAAAATACAAATGGTTTTTATTCTCCACCATTAGTGTGTGATTATTTATTAAAGCACCATCCCATACCCCACTTAACATTAGGAAAATAAAGTAAAAGTTATTCCATGGATGGAAACGCTTTTATTGACATGCCATTGTTTACTGTGCTCAGAATCCTGGCCCCGTCATAAAAACATACCATTATGAAAATTACTAAAAGGTTTTGGAACTCCCAACCTAAACAGCAGGCTTTTCTCCGTTTAGGGGTAGCACAGGAGTCTGGGCTAAGGCCCTCTGGCTTCCTCCTCCCACAAACAAAGCCCCTTCCATAGCTCAAAGGTACAAAGGTTGTCTGTCAGGAAAGCCAGTGGGTCCCCAGGGGCCTAATGTCCAGCCTCCTCCTTCCCCTCCCCTTCTCTCCCAGCCCCCTCCCTACCCCAAGCCTCTGGTCCCACCCCCTCAGTTTAAAGAAGACAAATGGAGACTGGAGAATGGATACAAGGGGAAGTTGGCAAGGCTGTGGCTACCATCTCTAGCATCTGCCAGGCCAGCTCCAGGGGGACCCATCCACCCCCAAATGAGACCTGCGTGCCTCTCCCAGCCTCGGGGCTCCTCTGGGACCCCTTCAGAAAGGAAGAGGGAACTTTACAGCCCAAACACCCTCCTCCCCAGGCTCACCCATTAGAGTCCCAGCAAGCTCTTTGTTTCCAACAGCTGTGTGTGTGTGTGTGGGGGGGGGGGGGGGGGGCGCAGGCGGCCTCAGAGTGAGGGGAGAGGTCACTCACTCCCTAGCTCCGGTTGTTGCCCACATTCAGGCTCTCCCGCAAAACTACACACACACACACACACACACACACACACACACACACACACACACAGGATCTCCCCTGGTTCCAGGCCCCCTCCATAACCCAGGGTCACACCTTGCTGCAGGAGGCACTCTCTCAAACCTGATTATCTCCTACCCAGGACCAGGACGACTCCCTAGCTCCTTCCTTCTGAACCGGCACGACGGGGGTTCACTCCGGGACCCCCACCTTTTCTCCTAATGCATACCCCTGGGCATATCCCTGCGCCCCAAACTTCGCCCATGCACCCACCACCCATAAAGACACAGGGTCATTTCCTGGGCCCCAGAACTGTTCCCGGCTCAGATCCACAGAGCCGGCGTCACCCCAACCCCCAGCGCGCTCCCCTCTGCACCCAAAGGAGACACACACACACACACACACACACACACACACACACACTGTGACTCCACATCGCCCATCTTCATCCTCTGGGCCTCCGTTCCCTTCACTCACACCAGCGCCCTAAGAACCTCCCCAGCACATGGTCACTCCCCTGACCATCAGCCTGGGTCCCCTGGCCCCTCTGCACCGCCATACTCACACACTCACACACAGAGACACACACTCACACAGACACACACACATACACACAGAGACACACACTCACACACAGAGACACACACTCACACACAGAGACACACACATTCACACACAGAGACACACACACACTCACACACACAGATACACACAATCACACACACACTCACACACAGAGACACACACACTCACACACAGAGACACACAGACACACACACACAGAGACACACACTCACACAGACACACACAGAGACACACACACACGCTCACAATCACACACAAACTCACACTCACACACATGCTCACACACACACTCACACACATGCTCACACACTCCACACACACTCACACTCACACACACAGACACACACACACTCACACACACAGTCTCTCCCCGGAGCCTTCACAACATAAACACGCGCTCCCGCCCGCACACCGGCGATCACACGGGGAGCCCCGGCAGGCTGCCCCCGCCTCGCGGGGTCCCGGCCTCCCCCCCTCCCTGCGAGCCGGGGGGCCACCCTCGCCCCGACAGACACCCTTGGGCGCACGCACGGCCACTCCCCGTCCCCGGAGCCGGTCCCCGCGCCGCTCGGCTCCCGGGCTCCACGCCCTCCGCCCCCGATCGCCCTCGGCCCGCTCCCCGGGTCCCCGCGCGGGGGCCTCCCCAGACCGGCCGCGGGCCCGGGGCGCGGCGGGGGCGCCGGCGGAGGGAGGGGGCCGCAGGCTCAGGCTCGGCCGGTCCTACCTGAGCAGTTGATGCTCTTGCCTTTGCCGCCGGGACACTCCCCGCCGCCGCCGCCGCTGCCGCCGCCCCCGGCGGGCTGGTTGGACGCGCGGCTGCCGGGCAGCGAGAAGGCGAAGAGCAGCAGCACCGACGTGTAGCAGCAGCAGAAGGCGAGCGGGGGCGCGGCGGGCAGCCGGAGCGGCGCCTCGGCGGCCGCGGCGCCCATGGCTGGCGCCCCTGGACGGCGGGAGGGAAGCGCAGGGAGCCGCAGGCCCGGGGCATCCAGCCGCCGCCGCCGGAGCCCCGCCGCCGCGCCTCCGCCTGGGCGCCTCCTAGCAGCCGCGCCCGGGAGCCCGCGGGCGGCCCCTCGGCATCCCGGTCCCGCCGCAGCCACCTGGACAGCCGGAGGCCGGGGCGCACGCGAGGATCGGGGGAGCGCGATCGGGGGTGCGAGCCCGCGGAGGGGGAGACCGAGGCCGGGGGAGCGGGCGCGCGCGTGCGGCCGGCGGGGGTCGCGGGGGCGGGGCCGGGGGCGGGCCCAGCCCCGCGCTCGCCTCCTCGCCTTCCCTTTGTGTCCGCGGCCGCCGCCACCGCAGCGTCACAAAGACCCCGGCCCGCCCGCCCGCCCGGCGAGGGGCGCGTGACAAATGGGGCGGCGGGAGGGGCGGCGGCGACCCCGCCCCGTGCACACCCCCGGCGCCCGGGGCCGGCGCCGCCTCCACCGGAGCTATTGTTCCCGCGGCGGCGGCGAGGGGCGCAGGGCGGGGGGCGCGGGCGCACGGGGTGGGGGGGTCCGAGATGGGGGGATGCTCCGCAGGCACAGCCCTGGCAGGCGTTTCTGTCTCCTCTGCAAGCCTGTGTGAGGGCTTTGCCTCTCCCAGCCCCTGGGTGGGAAACAAGACGTGTCTATTCCACGTCTGTTTCCTCGGGGAACAAACTGAACCCCAGAGAGGAGAAGGAGACTAGTCCAAGGTCACGACCAAGAAATGAGCAGGACCGGGATTAGAACCCAAGTGATGACGCCCAGCTATGTAGTTAGTTCGTAGAGATGCGGGTGAATGGCTACATGTCTGGGGTCCTCACGCCTACCCCATTTCCACCGACACCAACTGAATTTCAATACTGTTTCAAAGTAAGGAATAGAGTGAAGAAATAAGAGAGTCGCCATAGTCAAGCTGCCAAATGACTGAAATGAAGTAGATCGGGGTATGAGGAAATGGTGCTAAACTTGTGTTAACTAGCCTGGGAACTTAAACTTTTTCAATTTTAATTTTGTTTTTAAAGAACTATCATTTATTTATTGGTGTATTTATTTACTAGAGGCTGAGTGCATGAAGTGTGTGTGTGGGGAAGGGGAGGGGGGGCCCCTCAGCCCAGCCTGCACCCTCTCTCAGACCAGGTGCCCTTGGGGGATGTCCAAGTGAGGGCTGGGGTCACTGGGACAGGGAGCGGGCCTAAGCCGGCAGTTGGACATCCTTAGCGTCGCCGCCCCTGTGGGAGAGGCTTCTGCCACTACAGCTGCCAGCCCTGAGCCTGGTTTCTGGCTGAGTGGCATTCCCCCTGTGGGAATGCACTGACCACCAGGAGGCAGCTCCTGCATTGAGTGTCTGCTCCCTGGAGGTCAGTGCATGTCACAGTGAGCGGTTGAGTGACCTTATCATATCATTAGCATATTACACTTTGATTGGTTGAACAGAGGACTGGATGACTAGACACTTAGCATATTAGGCTTTTATTATATAGGACTAGATTATTCTGCCTTTCTGTAAATTTGGATATTACCCTTTTATTATATAGGAGGAAGGATTGCTTAATCCCTTCACCTTTGAACTTTCTAGTACTGCATAGGAACTGGAAGCCACCAGAAAACTCTCTGATAACCACCTGAGGGACTAAGAAAAGAATGTTCACATACCCAGAATGTCACTTAACCTGACATCCACTATCCAGACCACTAGTCATCAAGGATTATCATCGAAAACCAACCCAGGACTGATTCTTCTCAAAAATGTACTTTTTACTATAAGAACCCTCAGCTTTTCTTTCTTCTTTGCAACACTCTGGTAATACCTAGTTAGCATTGTGGTATTACCTAAGACCCCTGAATAAATCATTATCATTTATTTCTAGCCAAAGCCTCCTGAGTTCATTTATGCTCTGTCAACAAAAAATTCTATATTGCCCTCTCCCACTAATAATAGCTAATATGGAGAGATTCACTATATTCCCAACCTGGACCAAGCTCTTTACATGCATTCTCTCCCATTCTTTTTTATAGCTCTACAAGGGAGTTTTCATTCTCATCCCAATTTTACAGATGAGGAAGTTGGGACCCAGAGAGAAAAAGCGACTCCCAGTCCAGTGTCTTCCTCTACATTATGATAAGGAAGACCCAGCCATAGGCAGGAAGACTATGAGCTCAATTGTTTAAAAGATCTCTGCCTTTTTCATTCTGTTATGCTGCCTTTCACCCCAGAAGGAATTTTTTTAATCTCATTGAAAAACTGATAAATTTTACTCATAACATTTCTTTAAGTATGTGAAAAGCCACCATAGGCAAAGCCACATTAGGGAAAATATTTTCAGTGTAAATAACTTAATATAAAGAACTAATATAAATCAAGAAGAAAACATTGACATAACAGAAAAATGGGAAGCTATTTGTATTTTATGCCTTATCACATAAACTACAGACAATAAGTATATAAAAAGATATTCAGTAACAAAAAGCAAATTAAAACCACATTTTTTTTCCATAGACAATTAGCAACAGTTAAAAAAAACTGACAAAACCTAGCATTATTAATTTATACATTTTGGGAGGGCAATTCAACCATGTATGAAAACTTTTAATTATGTTTACCTTTTAATCTAACAATTCCACATATTGGAATTTATTCTAAAGAAATAATTGGATAAGCACACAAAATATATATGTGAATGTTTGCCCTGCTGGTTTGACTCAGAGGTTAAAGCAGCAGGTGGCAGGTTCGATTCCTGGTCAAGGGCATGTAACTCAGTTGCAGGTTTCCCAACCCCAGTGGGGGCTCATGAGCAAGGCAGCCAATCAATGCTTCCTTCTCTCCCTCTGTTCCCTCCCATCCTCTCTAAAAATCATTTTGGAAAGTATCTTTGGGTGAGGATTAATAACAACAAATGTATATATGAATGTTCATCACAGCCTATAAATTATACAGGTCCATCCATGAGAAATAAAATATGGTGCCTCTTTGTACATTGGAATATTATACAGTGATGATGGGGTTAGTGTTTATGAACATGGAGAAAAGAAGGGTACTAATGAGTAGGTATAAGAAAATCCTATTTTCCTAAAATATCCATGTGTGTACATACATCCATAGGAAAAAAATATCAAAAAGAATATACAGTAATATATTAATAGTGATTACTTCTGTTTTGTCTGAATTCTTTTCAATTAAAAGTTTTTATTGTTATATTTGAAAAGGCTCTTTCCTTTTAAAATTTACTTACATGAAGCTTTTTACATAAATTCACATCTTTGACATTTTATTAAGATTTACCCCAGCCCTACCCGGTTTGGCTAAGTGGATAGAGCATCGGCCTGCAGACTGAAGGGTCCCAGGTTTGATTTCAGTCAAGGGCACATGTCGGGGATGTGGACTTGATCCCCAGTAGGGTCATGCAGGAGGCAGCCAATCAATGACTCTCTCATCATTGATGTTTCTATCTCTCTCTCTCCCTCTTCCTTCCTCTCTGAAATCAATAAAAATATATTTAAAAAAAAAAAAAAAAAAAGATTTACCCCAAACCTCTAACCTATAAGCAGTGGCATGGCAGTTGTTACAACTGAGATTCAACTTCTGGCTTTTGAATCAGGTATGATCCAGGTTCCTCACTGCTCAACTACAGCTGAGGGCTCCTCCCCAGACCCCTCCTTCAGCGGCTTCTCTGGTAAACTTGACCTTCCCTGTGCTTCTTTCCTGCCCTACTTCTTGGCTCTCCCAGCCTCAGTATTCTGCCTCTTTCATTTGACTGCTAACCGTAGCCCAGGCAGAAATATTAAAAGGAAATGTTTTTGTTTTTGTTTTTAATCCTCATCCAAGGATATTTTTCCATTGATTTTTACAGAGAGTGGAAGACAGAGAGAAATATCGATGTGAGAGAAACACATTGATTGGTTGCCGCCTACATAAGCCTGACCAGGGCCCAGGCTGGGGAAGAGCCTACAATCTAGGTCGGTGCCCTTGACCAGAATTGAACCCGGGACCCTTAGGTCTGCAGGCTGACGCTCTATCCACTGAGCCAAACCAGCTAGGGTGAGATAATTCTTAAATAAAAAGCAAAAATTCTGTCGCCATAAATGAAGAGTTAATTTACACCTGCATCTTTCTACAAATTAGGTAAGAAAAATTCAACACAGATTCAAATGTTTTCAAATTGGAAAGGACTCTACTTCAGAAACAGGATTTCTCTGACCTCCGGCCTCAGAGAGGAAAAAGGGTCTTAGTGGTCATCTAACACGACCCCCACCACATGCTTTAATATCAGTGATACCACAATGTCAGAGAGCAAAGAGTGTGGAGCTTGCTACGTATCATAAAATCACCTCAGAGTGTTTGAAAGAATGTAGATTTCTAAACATCACTCCAGACATCCTGGGGGAAAGTCAAGTCTCCCTTATGCATATTAGAGTTCTCTAAGTAAATCAGCCGCACTGCCACTTTGGAAACCCCGGGCCTAACCTTGATCCGCCCGTTACTGTTGCTCTTTTACTAACAACCTCAAAATGTCAGCCTCGTGTCACAATAAACATTCCTTTTTTATAGGCCTGGGTGTTGACTAATCCAGGCTAGGGGTGGTTGAATGGCCCTGCGTCAAGCTGATTGAGCTTTGATCTGCTCCAGTATTATTCATTGTGGGGCCTGGCTGTAGGCACAGCAACTCTCCAGGAGGAATTATTCTCTTTATTTTGTTAATTTCATTTTCCAATGACAGTTGGCATTCAGTATCATTCAGCATTATTTTCAAGTGTACAGCAAAAATGGTTAGACAATCATATTCCTTACTGAGTGATCCCCCCAATATTTCAAGTATCCACCTGGCACCATCTATAGCAGCTTACAATAATAGTATTGACTATATTCCCTATGCTATATTTTATTTTATTTTTTTGATCCTCACCTGATGATACTTTTCTGTTGATTTGTAGGGAGAGGGAAAGACAGAGAAAAATATTAATGTGAG